TCTTAAAGGGGGGGGGGGGGCGGCTGGACAGCGGCCCATTTTGACAACCGTTTACCTCACACGGTTTTCGACACGGACACAAACATCGCTTTTCAATTTTTCCGGAACATCACGTACGACAGACAGACAGACGTAAAGGAAGGCGCTGCCAATAACTTATCCTGTTTTCACGTTGAAGTGCTGTGCTTTATGCCTGTCAGCAATCGCCTGGGATTCTTCGAACAAAGAAACAAAAGTCATAAAACAGTGGACAGTCGTTCATGGAGGTGGCGCTTTTTCGGAGTCTCACGAGAAAGTAAGCGAGGAAAACCTCGATCAAGATAACCGTCTCCGGTTTCAGATTTGATATTTCTTCTTGCTTATGCAAATTCACGCTCAGCAACGAGCAAGTTGATTCAGAACAAACAGGAAAAATTGTTGTATTCAGGGAAGTGAACAGACGATGGCGTTCGGCTGGGATAAACGTAGGTTTTAGTAATGTGCGTTTACGTAATTTGCGATCAAGCCTCCGTGATAAGTTTCCGGATTACTCTGTCTAAAGAAGTCGCTGTGACTGACGGCATCAGTTTCAAGTTGAACAATAATTTATAGCACGGCTAGAAAGACGCATTTTTACTGTAAAATATTTAAGACTTCGTGTTTATGCTTTCATTCCGCCTTGAACACAGAAGATTTTACAAAGCACCCAAAAATATCATAATTGTACTTCTGATCTCTTTAGGGGCTCCAGTTTTGTAGCTGAGCATTTTACAAGCGACTCTGAGTAACTTCAATATTCTGTCTTCGCCATTGGACCTGACACTTAAACGATGCCTTCCAGAAAGTGTTTTGCAAAATCATTCCAAATTGAAAGCGTACGAATACAATCGCACAGCCTCAGTGCGTTGGACCTATTTTGCGAGCGCTGTCAGAAGAACACACCACCAGTGCGCTCTCTGGAGACCGACAAACTAACCCAACTCCCTGGTAGGAGAACCCGCAAGTCCAACGCCGAAGACACAAAAGTCCGAAACCGGCCACGATCCTGCGCCAAGTTCGTCCCCCGCCCCCCCATCCCCATGCGTGTCTGGTGACCCAGAGTGCTGTTAATTCACAGTAGAAACTGAAGATGGCGAGGTGACGTGATATTTATTGATAAAAGGATTTCCCTATCGCGGGGCCAAAAGTTAATGTGCAATTCCTTACCCATAATGAGCCCCGATGTGGCATTCCATTCCATTGACTGTCACCGCCTCTTCATGTGGGGTCATCCTGAAAGGATTCGATGTCAAGAGATAGCAAAGGTCATTAAGCTTTGCCCCAGAGATGGAATAATTGCGTCTAAAATTATAAGTTCTTTGGTAGAAGTGGTACATGAATTTCGAGCAGAGAACACAGTCTGTTCTTTTGGACTTGATGAAACGTGCCAAATCCGTTGAATTATAAAAATTGTCCATCCACACTGTGTGTCCACGACCAAGAAGAGGTTCTAGCAGTTTGACTACAATTGCTGCAGTTTTGTTTGTTTCTGCAGTCGCAAACTGATTCGTCAGTTCCATGTCTTTTCCAGTATAAACCAGAAAAGACCACACATAGCCAGAGCTAGACTCGCAGAGTTCATACGTTTTTATTCCAAATTTTGCAGCCTTGAGGGGTATGTAAAGACAAACGACCTTTCCATAGAGTCAAGGACTCGTCTATCGAAATGATCTGGGATGGAAGATACAAATTTTGAAACTTGTTATTCAGGTGCTGAATAACTGGATAAATTTTTAAAAGTTTCAGAGGTCCTTGATATTCATTTTGCTTACTGTTATCTGTTACTTTACGTGCCAACAGGAAGAATGTAGACAAAGTGGTACATGACATTGTTCAAGAGACTGCTGAATGTATCGATACATAACGCGATGGTCATGTATCGGTCTGTTCCACATACCAAAACCTTAGACACCTTGAAATTCAGACTTTCATTAGCCCAAGGCCTCGTAGAAAAACACGGTTCTGGTGTTCCTCGTCCTGTACACGGCCGTCCGACAATTGAGCCGCCACCTAAAAGACTGACAGAAAGACATTTTCCGGAGCGTATTCCTGCCACCGGAAGGAAGGCAAAACCTCAAAGGAAATGTGTGGTGTGCAGGAAACGCGGAAGAAGGAAAGATTCGACTTATTGGTGTAGTGAGTGTGAGGCAGGGTTGTGTATGGATGGCTGTTCCAAGGACTACCACACAAAACTCAACTTCTGATCCACTTGCTCCCATTGGTCACACACAGGGTGCTCATCTTATAAGGTAAGATTACAAAACCATCTTTAAAGAGGATTTCAGTGAAGAATTCATAATTATATCTCATATAGTTCAAAAGTTATAAAAAAAAGTATTTTACAGCAAAATTTAAATGGACATTTAAAAAAACTACCGCCATCACAGCACAACAGCGGTAAATGCGGGGTATTTAAACTTTCCGCGTTAACAGGTTAAGGACCATTACTCTTACTAGATGTCAGCGAATAGTAGTGTATTGCATATTAAATTCGACAAAATGTAAATTTAAAGTGTAGCTCTAAACGTAGTTACAGACTTCAGTTCCTTGCGATTCAGGACCCAAACACCCAGTCGCGGTTCTGTCCCGAATATGAGAGCAGTTCTTTATGTACTCACCCATCACAAGGTTCAGATCAGATTCCGTCTGGAAGGTGTAGTGCGACTTAACCAAGAACGTGCTGTCGCCTACCTCCGCTGACACGCGGCACTCCGTCATCGTGTGCCACAAAGATCCTCTGTCGGCAGTGATTTTCTTCATTTTCATTGTCTTCATCGCGTAATATTGTCCCACATTCAAGCCTCTAATCTGCTTAACCAAGTGAACCTTCCCGAAGCCTGTAAAGTTTCATGTGTTACTAATTGACGCCCTTTCAACAAACGGTTCTCACGTAGAAAACAATCTCCTCATACAGATTAGGATTCAGTACAATTTATATGCAGCGCCTAAACTTCTTGAGTGAAAAATAATTTTTCAGTATATTCTGTAGTCAGTTTAAAAAAACACTAGAATCACTTGCTGTAAGTGCGAAAGGTTTTGTAGTTTCTAATTATTGGAGCACATAATTTCAAGTAAGGG